ATGAACAGCACATACCACATGATATTCCACACAGCCATAAATGCACGGATTCACATATACAGACTCACATATCCATCCAAAGTGCACACATACAAAGGCCTGCCATGCCAGGCACACAGACACACACCAATGTATATACCCTCCCCAAAACACACACACACATGTTCACAGTTACAACCATCCAAACATGCCCAGCATGTGGATCTCAAAGGGTACCAAATGGGCTTTGTCCAGGGGACAGGTCCTGGGATTCAGACAACCTGAGTAAGGAGCTTGATCTGTTCAGTCACAGAGAAGGGGGACAGGTGGGTGGGTAGGTGGAAGGCCATTCCTCTATGAACCCCTCTTTACCTGGGACACACAGAGTTTTAGGTCCCAGGAGAACTGTCCTGGGCTGTGTCCATGGGGAGGAAAAAGTAGGAGCAGACTCACCTGCAGCTTGAAACCTCTAGGTATGGAAGGTTCTGAGACCCAGCTTCAGGGTGCAACTGGCTGTCACAGAGACTGCCCTTGGGGCTGGAGTGACAGACAGGACCAGGACAGAAACAGAGATAGCCCTTGGCGTGTTCAAGGCACTTTGCAGTTCGACAGCTTCTTTTAAACTTGGTGACTATTTCCCACACCTGGTGAGAGCTACTCTGAGACATTGGTGGTAATGTTCCATCTCCTAGACCTGGAGAGGAGTGGGGTCTTCAAGACCACACAGCAGCTTACTAAGTGGGCTGGTCTCCAACCAAGGAGAGGCCCATGGTGTAGTTGTCTTCCACTTGTCTGCACAGGTCTCTGTCAGGATGCCGGCCACTGAGAGCAGGTCCTAGCTTTGCCCATTTCATCCAGTGACTGGGGCCAACCCTCGGTCTCCCCACCTGGAAAGCAAGGAATCCCCAGGGGGTTATCTGGCTGTAGCTGGTGACCACACTGAGACCAGGGTGAGTGGGAGTGGAGTTTGCCTAATGCCCTCAGGACACGCCAGCGCAAGGACGAAAGGTTGCTCGCTCCCCTCCTCACTTGGCCAGCCACGATCTCTCTCCAACCTCGCTCCGTGGCTGGGCTCCAGAAATCCGGGCTCCGGGTCTTGGTTCTTTCCTCGTCACTCGGAAGATGCCTGGAGCGGCTTGCGGTTGCCGTGGGAACCCCACCCAGGCCAGACCCAGCTCACGACTGGGCACCAAGCTGAGGCAACCCCGTGGACCACTGGGCGGGCTTTTGGGAATCAGAAAACCACACCTGTCCCTGGAGTAACTCTCCAAGCGTAGCGCACGTATCTCAGAAGCTCAGCTCGGTGAAGTGCGTAAACCACGTCACCCAGGCACGGTCAATTCCGAGCACTTTAAGCAGCAGAAATCTAACGCACCAGGAAGGCACTGTTTAGTGGGAACTGCCTTTGAGACTGCGCTGGTTCCTATGTTTCCTCTCAGGTCCTCTTTTCGGGCCCTCTTTGGGACTAGGTTTTCTGCGAAGGGGGAATTGAGGAACTGACACGCGATCTTTACCTGTTCCTTGAGTAGCATTTTAGACATTTTGCTAACTTTGGCCCTGTGACCCGAATCAGTTAAAAACAAAACACACACACACACACACACACACACACACACACACACACACACGTATGGTCGTGAGAGATTCAATAGTTGAAAATGGGTAGCTCCTCAGTTGATGATGCCGGAGACTCCCAACTCATCTGGCTAGCCTGAAGTTCCTCTGCTTCAACTTCCTTTTGCTGACATCCCTTTAAGAGCAGTGCAGACATTGGGTCAGGGGCCACAACTTGTCCTCTTGTCTTTTGGCATGTCTCTACTTCCTGTAGCACTCTCTCCAGGAGTCACACTCCTACTCAAAACTCACTTGGCCCCCACACTTTCCTTAATTAAATCCTGCTGGCAACTTCCTATAAAGAGGCTTCTTACTGTATCCCCTAGGTCTTGCACTGTTTGTAAACAGACCCTTCCTCCCCCTGGGCACCCAAAGAAACCCTGCATGCTGCATTCCCCCCCCCCAGCCCTAGAGGCACCTGGCATGCAGCTGGTCTTCAATAAATATACTTGGCACTAAAAGTGGAAGGGAGGTTTCACAACCTTGGCTGTCTGATCTGTAAAATGCCATCAGCCCAGAACCTGCCAAAGATCAAGCTTCTGGGACACCTGGGCCCAGCAGCAGGGAGAGAAGGGCAGCAGGGAGCCAACCCTGGTTAGATATTTGAGGCTATGCTGCAGGGGCCTGGGAACCCTTAGGAGTCCCTGAATAGATTCTCCCGGCCTTCTGGGGCTCTGCTTGGGAGCCAGCCCACACTCTGCAGAGCATTCAACATAATAGTGAAATGTAACAAGGGGCTAAAAAAGACAACATTCCATGCTGGGATCATGCGGCCATATCTTTTTTTTTTTTTTTTTTCTATAACTAACTGAGTGGCCCTCGTTTTCCTCTCCCACAATTTGACCTTGAACATACAAGCTTCTTTGGTAGTGAGAAAGAACACTCACCCTTTGAGCTGAGAGAAGTTTCCCTCTTGGCTTCACTTTAGCAAGAACATTTTTTTGGGTGTGTGGAAATTGAGGCAGGGAGGGTGAGGCACCAGTGTCAGGGACTGATGGCACAGGGGACTGGAGGCAGGGAATAGGCTGGGGAGTCCTGGGGAAAGGGTGCTGATGGAGGCGTAGGCATAAACATTTCCCCATCTGTGAGCCACAGACTTAGTATTCACCTCTCAGGAGCCTCAGGATGACCCATTTAACAGACAGGTGAGTTAAGGCCTAGAGAAGAGGCTTGCAAAGGTTCACAGCCACAGTGGCAGGCCCAGAACAAGGCCCTGCAGTGTCCCAGCCTTGCTTCTTTCCCCTGTGCCATCACAATGGTCACTTCTCAGGCCTCCAGGCCTTGGCCAGTCTCCCCTGCCAAGTCTCCTGGGAGGAATTATAGGAATCAGCTCCATCCCAGCACCCAGCACCCAGCACCCACTGACAGCTGGGTTGCTTCCCAGGAGGACAGATGTACTATATATACAAGCTTCTCTCTGGCACTGGAAGGAGATGCCAACAGGTTGGGCAGCCTCACCTGAGGGATTTAAATAGCCACTGCTTTCCTGGGCATCAATTTAGGGAAGACATCTAGTCAGGCTTGGGTGAAAATAGGGGACAGAGGGCTGAGGACCATTTATCTTCCCAGAGAGCTTTGGTCCATGCACTTCACTTAACTGACCTCAGGCTCCATTGCCAGCCCTAACATGGAGAAAGTTGCCCAACATGCCTGAGGGGGCCTGGCACCCTACAGGTAAGCAACCCTCGCACAGATGTGCAAGCCCTGTGGCTTTAATTGTGGGAAAGCTCCCTGTCAGATGGGAGTCCTTGCTGACATAGGGTCCTACCCCCTTCCTCACCTCTCTGGCCTGGGAATCTGGCCCCCACCTTTGTCATGGCTACTAGCAGAGCATTGCAGTCAGTGTGGGGCTGAGCCTCGGGTGCTAGGCTAGCATGGTATCTGTGGGATAATCAGAAATGATTTCATAGCCAGGTGGTGGTGCATACCTTTAATCCCAGCACGAAGGAGGCAGAGGCAAGCAAATCTCTATAAATTCAAGGCCAGCCTGGTCTACAGAGTGAGTTCCAGGACAGCTAGGACTACAAAGAAACCCTGTCTGGGGGCTGGATTTCACTTCCAGGCGGTGGTGGTGGCACACACCTTTAGTTCCACTCAAGAGGCAGAAACAGACGGATCTCTGAGTCTGAGGCCAGTCTGGTCTACAGAGTAAGTTCTAGAATAGCCAAGGCTACACAGAAAAAGCCTGCCTCAAGTAAACAAATTAAAAAAAATCCAAGAAAAAGAAAGAAAAATTATTTCACTTGTCAGGATCCAAGATTCTGGGTATAGTGTGAGAATGGTAGTGTTTACTTGGGCAGGTTGTTCATATATGACTCAAGTTTTTGTTGGGCACATGTCTTTGTTCATCTACTCCTAGCATGCAAGTGTGTGTGTGTGTGTATTCTTACCTGTAGATTCACAGTAAGCCTGCCCAGGGTCCTACCTACATGCTGCATTCCCTCAGACCATGTCCATGATACTGGTTCTCGGATCACATGACAAGCCTTCCAGAACTGCTTCGTGCTGGGAGTAATGGTAACGGCACTGGGGAGAGGAGCATGGAAAGAGTTGGTGAACATGGTAGTGACAGATCTTCTTCCTGCCAAAGCCTCTCTTGCAAGCAGTGGGAGTGGGAAGAGGAGAGATGACAAGCTCCAGTAAGGGGGAGGGATGTTAGGATCCAGAAGAAGGCAGTAAGGCCCTTGATTCATCTGTTCCGTGTCTACAGGTTCAGAGACCTGTACCCAGAGAGGGTGGGTGTCCTGCTCAAGAACCCACACAGTGGGAGGTCTCAAGCCCACTGAAGGTTCTTCCCACTGTCTCCTGCCCGCCTCTCTGACATTTGGAGATTTTCCTGGTCAGCGAAGTGTTTTCCAGCATCTTCTCACATGAACAAGACAGGAACAGAAATGAAGGCGTGGGCTGAGACACACAGCCTCTTTGAAACTCCAGCGGCTCCATTGTAAGGTCAATACTGAGGTCCAGAGAGAGGAGTCCAGGTCAGTCTGTCTTCACACCCAGCATCATCAACACAAGGTTAACCCAGAGCTATCCAGATTAGCAGGTGAGAGGGTCGGGGCTAGTTTCAGCCCTACTTTCTCAGGAGGTTGCCAGCAGCAGAGAGCCTGTTTCCACCTCCCAGGCCCCAGCAGTCGGGACTCAACTTTTAGCCAAGTGCCAGGCTATGACTGTGCCTTCTGGGGATGAGGGGGATCCCTGGGTGCGTGTGCAGGACCAGAGAGGGGCATAAGCCAGCAGCCGCCCTGCAAACTGCCCCGCCCGCCGGCGTGGGGACGTGGGAAGGAAGAGCCGCTTCCTGGCTCCTCGCCCGCTCCCGGCCGCCCCGCCACGTCACCGTGCGGCCAAGGGTGCGCGCGGGCGGGCGCGCGCGCGCGAGAGAGCTAGGAGGAGCGGCACCGGCCTGGGACACCGCGAGGCGCGGGGACGGGGACGTGGCAGCGCCTGGCGCTCCAGAAAGTTCCTTGGAAGCTCCGCTTGACGCGGTGCGGGAAGCGGCGGGCGGAACCATGAACGTGTTCCGAATCCTCGGGGACCTGAGCCACCTCCTAGCCATGTTCTTGCTCCTGGTCAAGATCTGGAGGTCCAAGAGCTGCGCCGGTGAGCGGTGCCAGGGCGGGGTGGGACGGGACCAGGGTGAGAACTCGGACTCAAGAGAGAACCACGCGCGCTTTCAAAAACTTAAGACAAGTTGTTCGACGTCAGTGTCCGCCTCCTCGGACACTGCTACCGCACCTCTTTAGCCCCATCCTTCATCCTGGGCTACTGGGAGAGGACTAGAGGGTAGGGAGTGGCGACCCTCCCCCTCACTGGAAGGGAAGAGTGTGTTTAGAAGCCACCACAGTCTTGGGATCTTTCCCTCCACTCTCTCCTGCCTTTCTCCTCCCCCCCCCGCCCCCCAGGGAGAACCTTCCTTTCCTTGCATGCTAGTGATACCAGTCTGGCCAGGGAGTGTCGGGGGGGGGGGATGTGTGGGGGTGTGGAGCTGGCTCTGAGCGGAGATGGGAGGTATTGGAGGGGCTCCCTGTTCAGCTAGAGGCCTGGCTGCCTTGCTGGCATTGGGAAAAGTTTCCAGGTTAGATTGAGATTGCAGGTCCCCCGTGGTGCAAAGATAAACTGTCCACTGTGTGTTTCTGCCATCTTTGTTCCTACGTCCCTGCCTGTGTTGGGCATGAAGATAGGGGCTATGGAATGAGCTCAGACTCCATCAGAGCTGAGGAAGCAGAGAACAGCTGAGGGCTATGTGGAGGAAGAGGATGGGCAGGGTGTGTGCCTAGAAACAGGGTAGAGTTGAGAACCCTCCGGGCAGAGGGCATATCCCGGGAAGGACACACAGAGCAGAGAGGAATCCAGAAGGTAGGGTGGTCCAGAGGTGAAAGAATGTACCCATCTCGCTCAGGATGCGGGCCTAGGGAAGCCATGGAAGGTGTGGCACAGCGGGCCTCTCTGGGGATGGAGGCTGAGAGCACAGGAGAAGATGACACCTGAGAGGCTGGATGGGACAGGGACTAGGCTGAGTAAGGATCCTAGCACATTTGGGTCTCCTGAGAGAGTGTCACTCAAGTCCTTCAGGGCCCCTGGGGGCTGTAGGTCAAGAGGGAAGTCACCTATGCTTCAGAAAATGTCAGGGGCATGATTGGAGAGGGTGCTGTTACCCTCCCTACCTAAGCCCTGGGCACTGTGCCCTCAAAGCCCACTGCCCTGCCTTAGGGGGCTGGCCTCCTGTGATAGGTCCGTAAGAGATGTGGAGGAAAGAAAACCACTTGGAACTAGCCCTGTTTAGGTTCTGTCTCCATGAGTTCCTTCATGGCCATCTTCATCTCTAAGCACACTCCCAGGACCCAGTCTTTCTCACATGGCTCCTGCCACATGTATGTATGAGCCAGTCTACTGGTGAGTGTGAGGCCAAGGCTTGCCTGTAGCCAGTATGTGGGCCCAAATTCTCCAGAATGGGAGAGACTTTAGGAGTACTCCTTCTTGGTCATTAAAAATGTCGCCCTGGCCTGAGGGTGGTGGCACACTATTTTAATCCCAGCACTCAGGAGGCAAAGGCAGGTGGATCTCTGTGGGTTCAAGGCCAGCCTGGTTTATAGAGCAAGTTCCAGGACAGCCAGGGCTACACAGAGAAACCCTGTCTCAAAAACCAAACCAAACAAACAGAAAAAGTCACCCTGTCCCATCAGCCCCATTAGAAGAGTGTGGGCAGTGTGGGCATAGGAGGTAGAGACACTACATGGGCCACACTGCCCACACATCCTATTCTCTAGGAATATAATCTGGACAGAGAGTGACAGGAACCAGGGGAGAGGGTGGCCCAGGCAGCAAATGGGATTAGGTTTTGGTTTTTTTTTTTTAATAGGTTTTGGATCTTTTAAGGACATTTGGAAGCCACTTAAAAACTTTAGGCAAGATTTTATCTTAAAATAGCCTTTGGGTTTCTTGATAGAGATTGGAAATGGCAGACAAAGGTTTTGGGAGAGCAGTCTACCAGACTGAAGTGAGAGCTGGGCTGTCTGAGAGCTTCAGAGCAGAGGGGAGTATGCTAAGGAGTCCTGAAGGGAATGTGTGGCCTGGTGACTGCTGGGATGTGGGGCAGGGGCAGGGAGAGGGTGGCTGTGAGTTTGTGGGCTGAGTGCTAGGGGCTGGGGTCTGTTTACTGAGAAGGGGTGGAGGAAGCTGAGGGGAGAGAGGTTTGTGTTAAAGCTGACTTTGGGGGCCTTATGGGAATGTCCTGAAAAAATGGAGAAGACAGGTGAATGAATGTACAGGCCAAAACTGGGAGGAGGGCTCAGATGTGGAGGAGCACTAGCGTTTTGTGTGCGCGTGCATGTGTGTGTTTTAGAGGCCATCAGCCACAGGGATGGCTGAGATGCCAGCAGTACAGGGCAAGAGGCTGCTGGATGGTTTGATGGCAGAGACAGGTATTGCTGCATGCAGAAGGGGATGCTACCAGGGCAGGAGAGGGATGCTGGGGGTGGGCAGGTAATATTAGCTGCTCTTGAAACCAGGACTGAGGTCAGTTGACCTTGGCTGCAGAGACATGGGCACTGTGAAGGGGAATGGTTAGATGAGGTGACAAAGACTGGTGAGGGCATGGAAAGGGAGAAGGAAAAGGAGGTACCTGGCTGGCTCTTGGGGTCACCTCCGTGATCACCAGCAGAGGCCAAAGGGTTACCTATTGTTTCAGGGTCAGAGCAGGGAAGTGTGCAGCAGGAACACAGGTGAGCTGGGGGTGGAGTCAAGAGTACAGTGACTTCATAGATTGTTACAATTGATTATTCTGGTGCATGAGATAGAACCCCGAATCTTGTATATGCTAAGCAAGTGCCCTACTACTAGGCCACACCCCAATCCTTATTTATTTATTTGTTGTGGTGGTATTTCTCTGTGTTAACAGCTTTGGCTGGCCTGGAACTCACTCTGTGGATAAATCTGGCCTTGAACTCACAGAGCTCCGCCTGCCTCTGTCTCTTGAGTGCTGGGATTATTGGTGTGCACCACCATGCCTGGCTACTTTTAATTTATTTAGAGACAAGAGACAAGGCTCCGTGTAGCCCAGGCTGATCTTGAACTCTTAAGTCCTCTGTCTCAGAATTCCGAGTGAGGGGGTACACACTGCAGCACTGCACAAAGGTCCAGCCATTGTTCCTGTCTCTTGAGAACCTGCATGGCCACTAGGTGTGACATCAACCTTAGTGGAAGCTGAATGAAAGCACAAGGGACCCCTCTGGACTCTGGAACTCTTACATTCAAAAGTCCCTGGTAGGCCAGGCGGTGGAGGTGCACGCCTTTAATCCCAGCCCTTGGGAAGCAGAGACAGATCTCTCAGTTCAAGGCCAGCCTGGTCTACAAAGTGAGTTTCAGAACAGCCAGGGCTACATACACAGAGAAACCCTGTCTCAAAAAAAAAAAAAAAAAAAAAAAAAAAAAAACAAGCAAAAAGTCCCAGGTAGTTGTATCACAAAGCTGTAATTGTAGCACTCAGGAAGTGGTAGCAGAAAATTAGGAACTCAAGGCCAGTTTTGTGTACACAGAGAGTTTGAGGCTAGCCTGGACTACACGAGATGCTGTCTCAAAATATTAAAGATTGGGCAGGTGAGATGGCCCAGTGGGTTAAGGTACTTGGCAAATTTGAGCATCTAAGTTTGATCCACATGGTGTAAGGAGGGAACCAGCCCATTGAAAGTTGTCCTCTGACTTCTGTACATTGCATGTGTGCATACACCCCATAAATACATTTTATAAATATTTATTTTGGTTTCTTTTTTTTTTATTTTCGAGAGAGGGTTTCTCTGTGGCTTTGGAAGCTGTCCTGGAACTAACTCTTGTACCAGGCTGGCCTCCAACTCACAGAGATCTGCTTGCCTCTGCCTCCCCAGAGCTGGGATTAAAAGTATGCCACCACTGCCCGGCATAAATATTTTTTTTTTATGTGCATTGGTGTTTTGCTTGCATGTATGTCTGTGTGAGGGTGTCAGATTCCCTGGAATTGGAGTTACAGGCAGTTGTAAGCTGCCATGTGGGTGCTGGGGATTGAACCCAGGTCCTTTGGAAGAATAACCACTGCTCTTAACCTCTGAGCCATCTCTCCAGCCCTCTTCCCAGCCTAAATATTTTTTAAAAAACATTAAAAAAATAACTTTGGGGGGCTGGAGAGATGGCTTAGAAGTTAAAAGCACTGACTGCTCTTCCAGAGGTCCTGAGTTTAAGTCCCAGCAACCACATGGTGGCTCACAACCATCTATAATGGGATCTGCTGCCCTCTTCTGGCCTGCAGGGATACGTGTATAAATCTTTAAAAAAAAAAAAATAACTTTTGGGAATCTTGGGTAGGAGAATTGGGAGTTCAAGGCTATCCTGGGCTATATAACAAGACTCTAACTTAGATAAATAAATATGGAGTAGGCCAGGGAAGCCAAGACACACCATGGGCCAGAGCTGGAGAGGTGGATCAGTGGTTAAGAGTATTGATTGTTCTTGAAGAGGACCCAGATTTGATTCCTAGCACCTACATCATGGCTTACAAATGTCTGTAACTCTGGTTCCAGGTACTTACATGGGCACCAGACACACTTGTGTTACATATATATACATGCTGGTACTACACACACACACACACATACACACACAATCTTTTATGTTTTGAAACATGTTATCATGATGTAGTTACGGCTGGACTAGAACTCACAGAGATCCACCTAATTGGCCTCCTGAGTGCTGGGGTTAAATGTGTGCACCACCACACCTAGCTAAAATAGTTTTTATTATGTGTATGTGTGTATACTGGAGTCCATTCATGTTCGCCACATGCTTGCACTGACAGTGGGGCTCAGAAGAGGGCATCTGGTCTCCCAAGACTGGAGTTACAGGCAGTTGTGAGCCACTTTGTGGGGGTTGGGAACTGAACCCCTCTACAAGAACAATAAGCACTCTTAACTACTGAACCATCTCCCCAGCTCAAAAAATAAATCTTTTTTAAAAAGGAAGACAGGCCTAGGAGCTGGGCATGGTGGTGGCACACACCTTTGCTCTCAGCCAGAAAGGGTTGCTAAAACCTTGAAACCAGCCTTCTCTTGTTTTGCTTAATTAAACAATTTTGAGACATGGTATCACTGTGTAGCCCTGACTAGCCTTGAACTCAAAAGGGATTAAAGGCGAGCGCAACCATGCACAGCAAGCCAACCTATTCTATGTAGAAAGCTCCAGGCCAGTCAGTACTACACAGCAAGATCCTGTCTCAAAAGAGAGAAAGAAAAAAGAAACAGTATGGAGAATAAGACACGGTTTGTGACAATTCCATGCATGCACCTGGGTCATGAACATGCACTCAGGCACATATGGAGCTGTGGCTCCAGGTCTGTGCACTAAGGCATCTTGGTTTTTGCATGTGCCATTTGGTGTTTATTATTTACTAATTGCAGTGTTGGGATTTGAACCCAGGGACTTGCACATGCTTGGCAATTGCTCTGTCACTGAGTTGCACCCATAATTTTTGTATTATAATGGATAAAAATAGGCATAACCTTTATGAGTAGGAAAAGGGCTTTTAAAATTGTGCATTTTGGCAAACAGAGTGGTGTTGGCCGGTGTCTTCATTTGCCTGCTTGTCTCCCTGGCGAACCAGCACCTCGAGTCAGTGCCTTGTTCTCCCAGGATGGAGCTCTGGGGGTGGCACACAGAACAGCCTCAACACCCCCACCCAGGCGGCTCACACTACCCCCGCATTCTCCACAGAGAAGCACCAAGGTGGCACACGCCAGGGGACTGGAACGTAGTGTTTGGATCTTTATTTGGAGACAGATCATAGCTCAACAGGAGACACAGGGACTCCAGTGTTTTAGAGTGGGGTAGGACAGCTGTACCTGGTGTCTGGGTGGCCTCCCTGAAGTTCATGTTCTCATGGTCTCCTTTTTCCCCCTGCCCAGGCATTTCTGGGAAGAGCCAGATTCTTTTCGCTTTGGTCTTCACCACCAGATACCTGGACCTTTTCTCCAATTTTATCTCCATCTACAACACAGTGATGAAGGTGAGAGCATGGGAGCTGCTGGTGTGTTGGGTGTCTCAGGCCAGGGCTGGGGCTGTTGTACCTGCCTTGCTACTCAAGGCCTTTCAGGTACAGCTGGCCACTGTACCGTTCCCTCGAGACCAAGGTGGTGCTTGTACTTAGCTGGGCGGGGGTGGGGGGTGGGGTGGCTGTGAAGTTCATCAGTGTCACAAATTGAAATGTATCATGGTGCACTCCTGTAATTTCAGCACAGGGGAATCAGGGAGACAGGAGGATTGCTGCAAGTTCAAGGCCGCCCTGGTCTACATACTTAGTTCCAGGGGTACACAATGAGACAGTGTCTCAAAAGACCTCACCACCGGGCTGAAGAGATGGCTCATCAATTAAGAGCATTGAGTATTCTTCCAGAGGACCGGGTTTCCAACTCCCAGCACCCACATGGCAGCTCACAACTGTCTGTAACTCCAGTTTCTGATACCCTCACACAGATATACATGCAGGCAAAATGCCAATGCACAAAAAAATTTAATAATTAAAAAAACACCACAATACCCCCAAATGTAAATATAATACCCTGTCATGGATTAAATATTTCTTAAAAACTAGCCATAACCCAGAATAGTTAAACAAATAACCCAGACTTTTTTTATTGGACCCTGGACATTGGTGAACTTGGTTTGGCCACCCTTGCAACAAATGTGTTTGCCATTGCTAGGCCAGGCACTTGGAGACATTTAAGACTCATAGATCCTTAGGGGAACACCATAAGCAGATGAGAACATTATGGATGGGCTAAACAAAATATTAAAATCTTACTTTAATTGAAAGTTTTGAAGAGTTATCTGATAGAGGCTCAGGGAGTGTGAGCAGGAGCTGAGGAGCAAACCGTAAGCCAAGGTGTGCATGACAAGCGACCAACCCTGAGCTGGGAGGGTAAGCACCAAACCAAGTGCATAGCCAGGGCAAAGGCCGCTAAAGGCAGGGACAGGCTGGGCTCTTCAGAGAAGCACTGTGAGGGCGAGGCAGAGGGAACCCTGTGGGATTGCCGCAGGGACCGGAGGCTTCAATGGTACTGTGGTTTGGAAGTATGGATCATTTTCTCAGTTCTGCTGCCATGCCTCATCTCTGTGCCATGGATGCATTTGGGGTGAATGGATTCTCACCACCCCTCCTGGCTTTGAGGCAGGTATGTCAGAGGTGAGAATAGATTGCTAGTCAGAAAAGTGGGTCCGCAAAGCCAGGGTGTAACGCTCCTTACTCTAACATCCTTAGTGTGGTCAGGACTCGTGCGCAAGTGAACTATACAGAGCCCTGCACTTGCTTGAAGTCTCTTGCTATTGTCATCTTGAAATCTCTAGTTTTAAACAAAGGGCCTCATATTTTCACTTGGCAGTGGGCATGGTAAGTTGTCTGGCTAGCCACAAACATAATATCTCTTCTCAGTTACCACAGGGTTACAAAGTGTGTGCTATGTTCCTAAGGCAGAAAGGTATTGGTGGCACAGTAAGGTACCTGCCATCTAGGATTTTTTTTTTTTTTTAAGATGGAGCTCTTACTATGTAGCCTTGGGGACCTGGAACTCAGAAATCCACCTGCCTCTGCCTCCCGAGTGCTGCAATCACAGGAGTATGCCACTGTGCCTGGCTTATTTTAGTTTTTAAAGGTTTACTTGTATTTTCTGTGTATTTTCTATGCCTGTATGTATGTGTACCACATGTATGCACTGCCCCCAGAGGCCAGATGTTGGATTCCCTGAAACTGGAGTTAAAACCCATTGTGAGCTAGCTGCCATATGGGTGTGGGAACCAAACTTGGGTTCTCTGCAAAAGCAGAGAAGACTCACCACCTCTCTCCAGCTCCACTTCTTGGTTTGGAAACAGGATCAAGGCTGGCCTTGAACCTGAAATTATCCTGCCTCAGCCTCCCATATGCAGGGATTATGAAGAAAGCTCTTTTTGTTGTTGCTGGTTTTTGTTTTTGAGACAGGATCTCTCTCTACATAGCCTTGGCTGTCCTGGTACTCACTATGCAGATCAGGCTGGCCTTGAACTCACAGAGATCTGCAAGTCTCTGAATATTGAGTGCTGGGACTAAAGTTGCGCACCATCACCACCACCCAGCTGGAGAAGCTGTTTTTAAATAGCTTATCCAAAATTTCAAGTGGCTGAAATGGAGGATGGTAAGTTCTGGGCTAGCCTGGGATACATGTCACCTTGGGCTGGTGAGAAGGCTCAGTGAATAAAGATGCCTGACATTAAGCCTGACCATCTGAGTTGGATCCCCAGAATCCACATGGTAGGAAAGAATCAATTACTACAAGTTGTCCTTTGATAGCTATATGCACACCACAACATGTATTTGTGACAACTCTCTCTCTCCCTCCCTCCCTCTCCCTCTCTCTCCCCCTCTCTCTCAAAAACCAAATAGCTGGGCATGGTGGTGCACACCTTTAATCTCTGCACACAGGAAGTAGAGGCAGGCAGATCTGAGTTCAAGGCCACTCTGGTCTACAGAGTGAGTTCCAGGACAGCCAGGGCTACACAAAGAAAGCAAAACAAGCAAACCAAAAACTCAAAACAAACGAAACAAAAGTTCCAAAGTCTTTCTGAAAATTCTACTTTGATCCCAAGCTACTCTGGAAATGTAGTTTTGGTTGAGTGCATTACCTGAAGTCCCAGTTCTACCTGCTCATGTGACAAGTGTGAGTGTCTTATCTGTATCTTGTGAAGATTTCAAGAGATGGCTGGCTCACCAAAGGGAATGCTCTCTCAGAGACATCCTTTGGGGTTCCAGGGAGCTCATCACTAGCAGTGGTAGGGGAGGATGCTGTCACCTGTGAAACATTTGATCTGTATGAATCTGAGTCTGAGATCTTAACACTACCCTCTTAGAATCATCACCCGCTTACTTCATCCCTCCACAGACCTAGCCTTGAGTAGCAGGATGAGGCATCCAGTCTGTAATGGAATGGTGCTCCTCACTTCCTGCCTTCCCTCCTTCACTAATCTGTGCTGAGTAAGGAGGGAGGGGGGGACTCAGAACTGAGTGTCCTGCCTGTGATTCCTATTGTAGGGGAGACAAACTCACATTTTCACAGGGCAAGTGACTCCTGTGCTACATGTGGTGATACCATGTAATTCTAGTGATGTTTCAGTGATTGAGTTCTCTATAGTCTAGTGCCACTAGCAGCATTAGCATCACCCAAGCAGTTGTTAGAAATGCAAGTTCCATTGCTGTCCAAACCTACAAGAAAAGACCTTGGCAGGCATTAGAGAAGTCACTGTGGCTCTAATGCAAACCTCCAGCCCATGAGACTAGGGGCCCTAGGAACTATCACACACACGCATGCGGCATGTTGGGGGACAATAGCATGTTGGCCCTCAGGGTTACAGATACCACAGTTTAACATGAGCATTAAGAAATTATTTCATAAAAAAAAAGAAATTATTTCAAAGGCCAAGTAGTAGTGGTGCACACCTTTAGTTCCAGCACTTGGGAGGCATAGACAGGCAGATCTCTGAGTTCGAGGCTAGCCTGGTCCACAGGAGACCGGCTCCAAAGCTACAGAGAAATCCTGTCTCAGGGAGGAAAAAAAAAAAAAAAAAAAAAAAAAAAAGACTTCATAGGTGCCCATGGCCCATGTCTCTCTAGGTTGTTTTCCTCCTCTGTGTTTATGTCACTGTGTACATGATCTATTGGAAGTTCCGGAAAACATTTGATATTGAGAATGACACATTCCGGCTTGAGTTCCTCTTGGTCCCAGTGATCGGCCTTTCCTTTCTGGTGAACTACAGTTATGCACCAATGGAGGTGAGTCTGATCCAAAGGCAGGGGTGCCTCCCAGCACCCTCTTCAGCCATCTGGGTCTGCCAACTACAAGTCAATTTTTCAATATTGACAGTGTTCACCCTCATCCCCCAGTAAGGGGCACATCTGTTCAGTCATGAGGTTTCACATTAAGCAGGTGGTATCCCTGCTTCTGTTGGGACTATAGCTTCACAGACCTGAGCTTCAAGAGACAAACATCTCTGGAGATCCTGTGCTGGTATTTATGGGATGTACCTTGCCATACTATGGCTTAAATTATGCCATTTATAAATTGTGCCATCTGTAAAAACTGTTTTGTGGACATGTTTGCAGGTATAAAACAGCAGGCATTACGTACCTGAGTTTGTATTTCCATAGGAAGCAATAGAAAGGTACAACTACTGAAGTCAGGACTGGTAATACCATGAGCAGAGTGCTTGCCCAGCATGCATCTGGCCTTAGCTTCTATCCCCAACATCAAATAGCCACAAAAATCTGGTGTGGTGAAGCATTCCTGTTGCGCCAGCCTTCCTTGGGAAACAAGGCAGTTAGCTCAAAGCCTACTTGGGTTACACCATTACACTGGGACCCTGACAAGGATTGTGTGACAAACTGTTCTCTCCAGCAAACGTTCACTATTACATGGGTTCCCCAAACTTTTTGACAGGTACTCTGGACCTTCTCCATCTATTTGGAGTCAGTGGCCATCCTGCCACAGCTCTTCATGATCAGCAAGACTGGAGAGGCTGAGACCATCACCACTCACTACCTGTTTTTTCTGGGACTGTATCGGGCCCTCTATCTAGCTAACTGGATCTGGCGGTACCAGACAGAGAATTTCTATGATCAGATCTCAGTGGTATCTGGAGTAGTACAAACCATCTTTTACTGTGACTTCTTCTACTTGTATGTGACCAAAGGTAGGCACTGGTCCTAAGTCACTATGTACTCTATAGTATTCCAGCTGGTCTGAGGAGGCAGAACCAAGGTTCATGCCTTGATGGGGGAGGCATACACCAGTGGGAATAATAACTGTATACAGACAAGGTAACTGGGAAGGGTACTTTTGCCAAACCTGGCTGGGAAAATCTCATGTATAAGCTCCAAAGTAGACCTTAGAAAGTCATAAACCTTGAAACTCACACCAAGTTCACACAGGACATCACCAAAACCACCTGTAAGAACTCATTTCAACCAACCCAGCAGTTGACACACAGGGAGATTAGTCAGGGTAGCTTAATGAGGCTCAGGGTGAAGAGATAAGTCTATGGGAATGAAAGAGAAGAACTGTAGTTGACTGCTAAATCTACAACTATGTAAGGAAGGAGCATCGGTAACCAAGATGTGGGCAAAGGGGCAGAGTCCATGGCTAACCTGAAATGGAACTTCTGGTAACTTAACTCCTACAAGCTGACAATGATGAAGGGACAGCAGGGTGTGGTAGATTGTGCCCCAGCATTAGGGAGATAGTCAGGTGGATCTCAAGTTCAAGTCCAGCCAAGGTTAACGAAACTCTCAAAAGGGACAAAGCAGGTAGAAACAATCCTTTTCTAAGTATAACACATTTTGTAACTTCATCTTCCTTTTCTTATAGTCCTTAAAGGAAAGAAGTTAAGCCTACCAATGCCAGTCTAAAGAGACGGGCCACGCTGTAAAGCAACCAGAGCAAATAATTTCTCCTTGGTGACTTAATGTTAAATGATTGGTGTGAATTTTACCAAAGCACTGGCAGAACATCCTATCTCAACATCAACAGTTGGACCTCCCTTACATCCCACCATGGATGCAATGGATACTTGATCAAGCCACCCAAGTGTGGGGCCTTACAATGGCAAGTGAAAACAAGGAGCAGTAGATACCTCCTCCACAACCAACCATTGCTCTTTTGACTACAGTGGAGGAAGGCTCATGCCAAGGAATGGGCAAGATCCATTTACAAAGACCCTTCTTAGGTCAGAGTGGTACTGAAGATGCTGGGGGCAACATGTGTCGTTACACTACATCTAAGGTGCAAGCAATCCAAGTCACCAGCTCTGCCAAATACTTAGCACTCACTTCAGTTTCCAGCCTATGTGGACACCATGGCCATCTAACTGTTGACTCAGATTCTTGTGCCAAGAGCCATCATTAGTCCCACCCTCCCCTCCCAGTTTGAGGTGCTAACTAGGGTGATTAGTCACTCAACCTCCCAATATTTGTTTGAAGCAAAATGTTAAAATTACACTCAATGTAATAAAAAATTCACACCTTTATCGTCAATTGTTTATTTATACCTACAAAAGAAAACAAGATGGTATCAAAAGGGCAATTTACAAACTAAGAATAGTAGTAACATAGCTCTTAGCATCCTGTGCCTTAACATCACACCTACAATTCAAGTCTCAATGACAGGAATGTGTTGAGAGACCAGCAAAGGCTTTAGCAGAGCACTGATCCCAAGTAAAAGCCAACCTTTTAGATGAAAAGTCTGCACAATGAATTGTTTGGGAGGGGTAGAGATAAGCAGTCCACAGCTTAATACTGAAGTCCTTTCCCTAAGTAAGTTGACCCAGCTCCAAGGGTTTGCCTACGCCTGTTCTGAGAGAACACAAGGACAGACGAAGAGGCAGAAGCCATTGATCTAAATAGGAAAACAGCTAGTTTTCTGTTGTAGCCAGGCCAAAGGAGCTTATGAAATGGGAAACCAGCTGTTAATTCTATCTGGATTATGCTTCTGGAAGATAGGGGAGGCGAGCAACCTAGCTACTGCTCATCCCCAAAGGTGTTAACAGAAGGGATGTTTTGAAGAGCTGCGGTAGCACAGGATAGCCTATGGTATGATGCTTAATAAATAAATTTGAATTTGGTTGTAGAAAGAAGATTCTGTAACAGGCTGGTCAGTGTCCATGATTAGACACTTCCTTTCGGCAGAGTGAGACAAGACAGGACACATACTTTGGTTTCAAAGCACAGAGCAGGGTTGCCACACATCTGTGCCCACCTCTCCCTTAGTTTCATATTCTGTAAGGATATGGATAAGGATAAGGAAAACAAAAGGATGCCAAGCGTTCACATGTGTATATCCACTATATGCTGACAACCTACCTGTTATGTCGCACACTGAATCCTACTTTCAGAGCCCTTAAAACCATCCCTTTTCACTTCCTGGAGGAAGCCTCACATGTATATCATTCCTAAGGCTTTTACAAAGCAGCAAGCACTCCGAGTGCACAGCCAAGGAATGCAGTGGAGTCTCCTCTCTTTAACTGTACTGTGAATGAGTAACAACAAAAAAGGCCCCATCATTGTGATCTATCAGAGATGTTGGGGCCATCTATCCTGTTAGGGTGACACAAGTCTTTCAGGATGCACCTGCTGCTCTTGGCAGTTTCAGGACAAACTCACCCACTTGACACTGAAGAGAGGTGGATTCTAGTTCTCCATAGTACTTCCTAATTACTACCTACCTGTGAAAAGCTGAGTGCAAAGGGATGCCAAGGAGCCTCCAGCTGCTACAACAGGCTGTGGAGACTAGCTCTTCACCAGTCCTGCTCAGGAGAGCCTGGCCAAGAAGACAGCAGCCTACGAATTGCTCTTACTCTAGCACTAAAAATACCAAGTTTAAGAGGAAGAGCTGCCCATTTGGAGTCCATTATTTCTAAAGGTATTTTCTACACTGAAGACCCAGCTGCTCCAAAGTTTCTGCTAAGTTCTGATGCTAATGCTCACAATGGCCATCTGGCTAGACAATTGACTTTCAGATGGTCCCTGGTTATATTGGGGGGGCGGGAGAGGCAGCCTCTACCCAGATGCCAGTCTACCTAGCAAAAACAATGCCTTGTAGTTTTTTTAAACTTAAAAAGATATGCTTCAATTCAGAAATTTATTTCTAACTCAACATTAACCAGGTATATATATATTTTGGAGGGGCAAAACCAATTGGCAATTTTTAAACTGTCCAATGCACATAATAAGCCACCAGCCAAAATGACTAATAGTCTTAAAATTCATCAGGCCTGAATAATCTAAATTCACTAACTTAACACCATGGACAACCCATATGGAAGTCCCTCCTGGCTTCTCCCACTAAGGAGAACAGTCTGAAGCACATTGCCACTATCTTCTGCAAAACAGCCCCTCCTTCCCTTCCCTCCCTCCCTCCCAACAATAAACAGGCTCCAACAAAAGTGCCTAATACCTTTAAGATAAAAAATAGCTCAATATCCTCAACATGCATTAAATTGGGAGAAGAAATTAATCTTTTCCAGTCAGATATATATATATATATACATACATATATATATATATATTTTTTTTCCTTCCTTACAAAATCTGTTATTACAGACTGGATCTTTTGGGTGGGCAGAGGAAACCTGGCAGTGAATTTTAACTAATCTGCATTAAAAAAAGGTAAACCACAATGGATGGGAAGAGAAAAAAGTAAAAATGAAAAGGGCTAGAGGGTAAAAGAATAGCCGGTTTTCCTTTAGATGTAATTAATCTGCATGAGTCACTCCCACCAAGCAGCTTCATTTACGAGAAGGAGGAGGGGGAGGAGGGGGGGGAGGGTACTGGTAAGCAGTTTGCCCCATGTAGCCTATCATATTGGTAGCTCCTGGAGGCTGTGCAAACTGCTGTGACATCAGTGGCTGTGGCTGCTGACTAGATCGGCCTATCCCACTAAACTGCTGGCTAGAGCTCTGGGAGCTCCTCCCAGTTGAGGTGGTGCTGCTAGCCCCGTAAGTACCAGCAGCATACTCCTGGGCTGTGTAGCCACTGGTGCCATAAGCAGCTGCCCCATAGGTGCCTTGAGCATAGGTGTATTGGCCTGCTTGTGCCCCGAAGGCAGAATTCGGGCTCCCATAGCCACTGCCATTAGCATAACTGGCTCTATCGGTTTCACTACGATCCCGGTAGCTTGTAGAATCTCTCCGGCCACCATCCTTGACCCCTCGAAGCCTCCGGTCACACTCATCCTGATACATCAGATTAGGATTGTTGGCTGAAGAAGTAGTCCGGTACCGAGAGCGACCACCTGATGGGAAGAAAAAGGTATCTTTAATGCCAACATGGGATCCAAACAAACTGAACCCTAAGGGGAACAGAAATACCCAACACATCTTTATAGTCAGCAATGTTAGTCTCTAATCTTTCACTCAACTTGGTGCCTTCTAGACTCTTCTTGAGTGTAACAAAAACAATCTTTCCTTCTTTTGTTTTTTGTGCTGGGATTTCACTGTGTAGCTCTGGCTGTCCTCGACCTCAAGAGATATGCCTGCCTCTGCCTCTGCCTCCTGAGTGGTGGGATTAAAGACGTGTGTTGCCACTACCACCAGGCTACAAAAATCAATCTTAACACACTAGGCTAGGGAGCCAGGAGCCTAAAGCTGAGTGAACCTCACAACTATCCATCGGCTACATGCCTCAGTTTTGTTACTATGTTATGAAATAATGTAAAATTACACCAAATTTTCCAAATATAAATTGAAAATCTGATCTAAAGAAGCAGTTTAAAGGCATCAAGAAACAATAATAGCTTAGCTTTATCTGTATTTATTAAGAGAAACAAGGTCTACATATAAAGCTCAAACTGTCCCTAAAAGATTCACACCTGGCTTTAGTTCAGGTGTCAAGATTTACAGGCAGCTACATGAGGAGGCAAATACTTTGTGTGTGTGTGTGTGTATGAGTGCATGCACAGAGGTTGACTGGGGCAGGCATATCTCTGTGAGTTCTATCTTTGTGAGTTCAAAGCTACCCTGATATACAAAAGCTACAAAGAGTTGTTGGACAGTCAGTGCTGTTACAGAGAAACCCTGTCTTAAACCACCACCACTCCCCCAAGTTTATAGGAATGTACTAGTATGATTGTGTACACTACCATGTGACCCAAAATTTAAATAGTGGGTCTTAGATTCTCACACACCAGGCTATAAGAGTAACAATAGCAGCACAATGACAAAACTTGCTTTCTGACTTACAAGGAGGTCACGAAAACTACTAAGCATTCTGAGTTCCAAGCAAGAGCCTTCATAGATAAAAAACCAAAAAACACAAACAAACCCAAAAAGGCACAATAAGCATTAAGAGTCCTTGGTAATCCCTGGAAAATTCCAGGACTTACCCTTACCCCCTCCGCCGCCACCACCTCTGTGGTCCACCAGCTGCATCAATTTTGGATTGATGGCCTGATTGGCCTCTTCTAACACTTTGATCAGCTCTCTAGCCTGCTTTAGGTTCCCTGGGGTAAAGAAGGTATAAGCAGTGCCCTTGTTGGTGCTCCGGGCTGTGCGGCCGATGCGGTGAACATAGTCCTCGGAGCTGTTTGGATAGTCATAGTTGATCACAAACTTGACATCTTCCACATCTTCCAAGTCACGATGAGTCATTGTGTAGGTTGATATGGCAGAGAGAGAGAAGATAAAGGACATGCCAAGAGGTGGAAAGCACGAATGCAGATAACAGCAAGAGGAGATAAGATGAAGTTAGTAACCACTCTGAGCGGGCACAAAAAAGACTCATCCCAACAGAGTAAAAGAGGGTCAGTGACTCTTAGGACACAAATAGGCACTGCAACTTGATTTGCTTTAATTCCACTGAGTCCCATTTAATACCCCCAAACTCCTGCCTCTTCTGTGACAATATGCTGACAGGAGCTACACTATGACCACAGTTCAGACTGACATATTCTAGTGCCACCCCTTTCAAAGCAGGGGTGTATTAGAAATCAGTAACCACTATTAAAATGCAGGGCCAAATCACTTCTACTCTGTTGGGAGAAGCCTGGCACAGTCTACCAACAATACAATTTACTTACCTTCAGACCAGTCACAGAGCAAAATGGAAAGGCACTTCATCTACTCACTACATTCTCAGACTAAACAGTTAGGTTTTTTTTTTTTTCTCTCTTGTATTTAAAAAGCAAAACCAAAGCCAAAGTACACACCTATTTTACTTTGCTTAACACCCACAGTATCTTTCCCTTTTCAATCACCACAAGAATACATTACACTAAAATTTCACTGTACTACCAAGCCCAGCTTCTCAAGTGAGGTTTTGTTTCTACTCAATTCAAGGTTATTGCAAACTTGGTACTTGTATCAATGATCAGATCGTCTATGTGACCTGGAGATTCAACAGCCAAAGAAGGTGGGGCAAACCAGGAAACCTTGAGACACACATTTGATATTCTGTACATGACTAGGAATTGGGCTGGGTAACCCTGAACTTAAATTATGTAAATGTTAGTGTAATGCTTTCAGCTAAATGTAGT